TTTTACGCTGTTTTATAACCATATTAGAAGATTTGAGCTTCATATATTTAACACGCTTATTATCAGCTTCCAGTAGTTTCTTAGAAATTATTTGTCCTTTAATTCCAAAACTTTCTAAAACAGATTTTACTCCTTCCCCACCATCATTAAAATGAAGAACTACAGAATTTATTGCCAATTCAAACGTTCTTCTGGATAAGAATACATTTTTAGGACAGCGAGTCCATATTATTGCGTTAAATACTTCATTTGCATTTTGTGTTTGTCTGTGGAGGCATTTGGTTAACAGTTTATCATCAGACAAATCTTGAAAAATTGGTTTCAGCTTCAAATAGATCCATATTGGTAAATTAATTTTATCTTTATGAAACTTAGTACCATTTAGTTAATCAAGTTGCCACTTACACCAAGAATTTTTATCTCTGGGAGACATAGCATGGTGACACGCAGGATCTTTAAGTGCGGTGCAATGGTAGAGAATGGGTCCTATAGCTTTCTTCATTGCGTATACATTATCAGAGTTTCTCCGAATAGCAAGACCGTAGTAGTTTTGTATGGAATTAATAAAAGTATCTGTAAGTTTCCATTTATCATGAATTGGAGTTTTTGTCCCTTTAAAGTTTTTCACTAAATTTCGAATTCTAGTACCAAGTCGCTTTTGTAAATGCCCAATACACTCTAATTTCTCAATGTTAACTCTGTTCTCTTTGTAAGGATTAGATTCAACAACTTCTTTAAAAGAAGAAGTATCAAAAATTTGAATAGCACCGGCAGCTTCCATTGCACCAAAAGATTTAGTATGGTTTATATGACAATTATGATTTAAAATTATAATTTATTTTTTTCTTTTTTCTTTGCAAATTTTGTTTTGTTGAAATCATTTTTACTGACTAAAATCTAAATAATAAAAAATTCAAATAACAGACTTCAAAACAAACAAAAAAATTTGCCTTCAAAAAAGCAATTCATATCACTAGACACACGTCATGCTTATACTTTTAACTTAAAAAAGTGTTTTAGTTTTTGAAGTATAGCTAATAGTTACTTTATAGCTTTAAAGTATAGCCATAAAAAGGTTTCAAAAATAGTATTCTGATACATTTTTTAGGGCATTTACATGTTGCTAGGGCGTTGCTAGGGAAAAGTAACAGCAACCAATTCACAATTATATCAATATGTTGACAATTATATTAAAAAAACTTATTCATGTTATACATTTTTGAAAAGGTATTAAAATTCTTCATTAAATATAATAAAAATATTTTTTTTGAAAATTTCATCAAAAATCAAAATTCATTTATTGGGTTACAACCTTAACAATTACCTGAGGACATCCATGACACAAGAACGTTTCAGTAATGTTTCAATTATTGCAATAGAAAGTGACATTGCTGATTCGTTAAATATTCAAGAAGCAATTGAACAATTTGCTTCCATAAAATCTCGTCGGGTTAATTTTTAATTTCATTTTAATATGTAAATGTTAATGTTACATTTATTTTTGTAAATATGAATTAAAAATTGAATTTTGATATTTTTTTCTTCGAAGGGCGGCCATACATAGCAGCCGGCTGCATTAGCATGCAGCCGGCCAAACGTCCAGGCACGGCCCTGATAATATGTATAAAACTTGTAATATGTATAAAATTTGTAATTAGTACAAAACTTGTAATATGTATAAAGTTTATATAACGTATATTTTAGGAACTTAATAAGTAAATTTTTTTTGTTTTTGATATTTTCACGAACATAGGAGCAGGGTGATAAGACGCATTGTCTTCTACTTGCTCCTGTCAGAATATAAAGATTTAATTTTTAATTTTTAAATTTTAAAAAACATTGTAAAATGATTGTTTATTGACGATATATATATATATATATATATATATATATATATATATATATATATATATATATATATATATATATATATATATATATATATATATATTTAAAAATGCAAAATAAAAGTGCATTCATATTATTATTTTAGGACAGTGAAATATTCATTTATGAGTATCATTTTTTTTCTCCAACACCTGAAATGAAACAGTCATGAATAAAGTGTTATAATGTTGCACTTGCCGAATATTGAATTTTCTTCTAGACGCTTCGCCAAAGCACTAAATATTTGGAAGCCGAATATTCGGTGACACTCCTATTTTGAGGGTTTCGACCTGGTTCATTGAAGTGTATATAGTGTGTATACTGGTAAAAGACATAAAGTCAAAAATTGGCAGTTTTTACTTGATGCAGTATTGTAAAATTTACAACACTTTACAAACTGGAAAAATACAAGAATGAACGTCTTTAAATAAGTTTAAATGTATTTTTAAAACCAGAGAAAAGCTTTTTTCTGGTTATAAAATTACGTTAAACGTTACCTCAAAAAGCGGGTGTTTTATTTAGGCTAAAAGCTATTAAATTAAGAAAAAAAGGCTATAAATGTTTTCTTAGATAAACACTTAACATTATGGTGTATTTAAAATTTGTCAACACCAAAGACAATTTAATATGATTATAAAACTTTCAAATTGGAAGAAAACTTAAATAATTGATTTCATTTAAGTAGGATTTTTGAGTTAACGTTTTTTGCCAGAAAATCCACAATATGTTGTGGACATTCTTACAAAAAACTTAACACTGTGGGCGTTTTTAAAATTAAATTCATTTATTTAACAATAAAATATGATTTAAAAAATTTTATAAACTCACATAAATAAGGTTAGGTGTCACTCGTATAGTTAAAAACTTGTCAATGGAGTGATACTCAAAAAAAAAAAAAAAAAAAAAAAAACTATAAATAAAACAGAAAGAATTTAAAATAATATAAAGAGAAAAAAAATTTTAAACTTTTTTTTTTTAATTTTTTATAGTTTGAGGTTATGTTGTTGTGAACAATTGGTTTTACTTCTGAATTAGCCTAAACTTAACTCAAATATTTAGCTTTAAACAAGTTGCTTATACAGAACAGTTGAACTAAAAACGTTGCTTATGTAGAGGTTGCATATAAAGAATGTTGCTTATAGAAAGATTGCGTATATAGAGCGTTCACTGTATGAGGAATAAAGCTCTAATTTTTTATACAAAAAAAGTTATTTAAAACAACTTTAAAAGGCTAATAAGCTGAAAGAACTCTTTAGTTCTCTTCTATATTACTACTCCGTCTAGTTGGTAGTTCAAAAATGGGTTTCCAAAAAGGCGAAAATTCTGCAGGTATAAACTTAATTGCTTTTCTTCATTTTACAACTTTAAAGCAAAGATTGGAAGTTTTTCCAAATAAGATTTAGGTGTTGGCATGCTTAGATCACGAGTCATTCTTTTTCTCAAGTCAAATTTTTTTTCAAAAAAGTCATCAATAAGTTCCTTGCATGTAACTTCAACTGGTGTTTGATTGTTCATTAAAAAAAGAAATTGTGAATTTTGTTTTAAAAGTAGTTGACCTACAAAATGAGTCATTATTAAAAGTCTTCCTTTAATAGTAATTTAACCACCATTATTTATAATGATACTGCTTACATCAACTTCCTGTATATGAAATATATGGTACTTTGATGATTGAAAAATCAGAGATTTATATTGAGATAAAGTATAAAATCTTTCAGTGCGGCGTATTTTGTCAACATTAATGATCTTTTTTTTTTTTTTATTGTTATTTAGGTGCCCTAAGAAGACCTAACGGTCTTGTCACAGAACATCTTTTAAATTTGACATTTTAAAGCCTGATTACTCCAAATTTTTCTTATTATCAGATGTACCGGATATTTTTGCCGGATATGCCGGATATTGAATTTTTTTAAAGTTCTATAAGTGTTTATGAAGAAAAGACAAGTTTTGCAAATCTACAATAAATATTATTCAAGATCTTACTATTAAAAATCAAGAGAAAAACTGTATGGCATGGGATATGTGCTGAAGAAGTATAGAAAATAGTAATTAAAAAAACAAAAACTTGGCTGTAAAAATGATTTTACCTTATACATTATTAACGCATATACCTGTGTTATACCAGTTTTTTATTGATTTTATTTTTTTAAATCTTGAACACTGTTTAATGTAGAATGACAAGACTTGTTTTTTCTTCATAAACACTTATAGAACTTTAGAAATGTTCAATATCCGCCATATCCGGCAAAGATATCCGGTACACCTTTAACTATCAATAGATAGTTTTTTTTGGCAATAAGTGAAATTTAATTTTTTTAAATGAATTCAAGTATTCATTTACTCTCAGGTATATTTTCCAAAAGTTAACAAACTACCCCTTTTTCGTTTTAAGCACCTGAGAGTAAACGTTCAAACAAAAAGAATTTGAAAAGGTCAGAAAAATATTAACCAGTTCTAAACATTGACTGTTAAAATTATATTCTGAAAATAAAAATTTTAAAAGTATATTTAGTTAATAATATTAAATAAATGTATTAACTAAAAATTACGGATTAAAACTTATAAATATTTTTGTAAATATGCACTAATTTTATTCGGTCGCAACTTTTAAAAAGAAATTTATATACTTATTAATAACATGTATATAAATTTCTTTTTAAAAGTTGCGAAGAAAGCAAAATTTGTACGTATTTACAAAAATATTTATAAATAAGTTTTAATCCATGATTTTTAAGAAAGCTTAAATTTAAAATTAGTTAAAAATGGTTATTAATCTTATTAAATTATATTTTTATTACATTGTAAAATTATTAAAGTTATTAAATTTACTTTTTTTTTTGTATTAGTACTTATATAAAAATTACACAAAGGAACCTTTATATACATATAGAAAAAAAGTGAATAATTGCAATTAGCGACAAAAAGTAACAAAACAAATAAACTGCTAAATAAGTAAAAACAAAATTGAAATTTTAAATAAGTTTAAATAAGTTTAAAGATATTCAGGCATACAAACATTGTTAAAAGTTTACCAATTATAAAGTAACATAAGCTAATTAAAATGCTTGTGGTAATAAATAAAGCATTACTCCATCAAATAATCCGAGCTTTTGATTGAACTGTTTATTTGTATTTGAATCTAAATACATATGTTGATTTAATCGTTAAAAAAACTTTAAGATCGTTTCTTACATTACCAATGTAAGAAACAATTTTCAAGTTTTTTCAATTTCTTTCGCCCGTAGCTACATTTATTAATAAATCTGAAAGAAGTTTTAGCAATTTGAAATTAATCAAAAACCATTTACGATCGACATCTGACCAAGAACGTCTATTGAAATCTGAAATTAACAAAAACAATAGATTTTGATAATATAATTGAACAATTTACCAATACAAAGGCAAGGAAATTTAAATTCAATTAAAAGTTATTTATTTATGTCTTTTGTGGTAATTTAGATAACTAATGTACTATGAGTAATACTTTATAAAAAAAAAAATGCTTTTTTAATTTTAACTGACACAAATCAGTCAAGCATAAGTAACATGCATCTCCATCGAGTTTTGATTAAATTCAAATTCAATTTTTACGCACTTTTGTAAAACTTTTACGTACTTTTCAAATTCAATTTTTATGTACTTTTGTCTATAATTTTCATTTTTGTTTGGAGATCTTTTAAACATTTTTACAATTTTCCTGATTTTTGTTATTTAATTACAATTTTCCTGATTTTTGTTATTTAATTACAATTTTCCTGACTTTTGTTTCGGGTCCAATAATTTGGTGCTAAATTTTAACTTTAGATGTTTCATTAATTAACAACGAATCATTTCAAATACACTCTTCCTCTTCAGAAAATAATTTTTACTTTGAATAACGATAATTAAAGTTTAAACCTGTATTTTGTATTTTGATAACTTTATTAAACTGATGTTAAAAAAAAACTTTTGTAAATCACGCAAACATTTGTTAATAAATCGAGTGGATATAGAATGAAATTAAAATCACGCATACGTTTGAAATTTGAATGAATTAAAAAATTCAAAATAATATTATGGAATACCTATTTAAAATATTAAGCTTTCTATTGAAAATTTAATCAAAAATGTTAACGTTTTGCTAATAGAAAAGTCAAAAATTTTCTGTGAAAAATTTTTGATCTTCCAATAAGCAAGCTTTTAAGTTTTACTTATTTTTAATAAAATATTACTTTTAAAATATTATACTATATATACTTTTTTATATGTTCAATTGTACATATTTTGGAGATAAGCAATGTTTTTAGTTTGTATATTCGACAAAATCCAGAAAAAGAGATAATAAAAATAAAACATTGCAAAGAGAATAAACAGCTACAAAACCAAACACCTACTAGACCAAAGCCTATATTTTTCATTTTATGATGTACAAATTACTTACAAATTATACGGAACAATTTGTACGTAATCCCAGGATTGCCATCCCCCATTTAAAAGTTGTAACCAGTTTGAAAACGACATTTTTTACGCGTAAAAAAGTTTTTAAAGTGAACTTAAAAAAGTTTTTCTATAACTGATCAAGTCTAAACTTCAAGTTTAGACTTGATCACTTAAGAAGTTTTTCTAAAAAGTGATCAAGTCTTAGACTTGCAAAAGCGCGGAAATAAAATATGCACGTGCAAAATTAGTGAAGCAGAAAATAAAGTATTGCGGCGCGAAATTTCTCAAGCTTCGCTGAAAATCTTTAAATCTGAACTTAGAATTACTTTTGTTGTCGTATAGTATAGTATAGGAAACAAATTAGTATACTAAAAAAGAGTTAACTTAAATTATTATGAATGCGTATAATGTTTTTTTTTAGAGGAAATCAAAATATTTTAAAAACAAGAAAGTCTTAGGATGAGGTAAAAAAAAACAACGTCATTTGTTATTATTTGTTACATTCCTGGCACCAACAATAACCGGTGTCTATGATGTTTAAGAAACAAAAATACTAAGAGTTGCGTGTGGTTTTTTTTATTGTTATTATTTTTTATATTGTAGTTCATTAAAAAAGTACGGTCTTGCTATTTGTGGGGTTGGACGAGCTGGAACCATTCATACTGGAAACTGTTACCGAAATCCTAAAGTTCAAATAAAGTATTTTGTTGAGATTGATATTGCAAAAGCTGAACAGTTAAAAAATTCATTCGGGCTTGACGATACAAAAGTTGTTAGCGTTGATGAGATCGATACAGTTCTTAGTAATGTTATTGTTTTTTTAAGTTAAACTTATATCTAAATTTCAGTTATATTTATAAATAATACTTTCTTCATATCTATCTTTATATACTTGTAGTATGATTTTCAGGTTTGTGTTATTCATGATATACTTTCAAGTATTTATATTTAGATGATGAATCAGTAGATGGTGTTATTATTGCTACAGTAACTGGTGCTCATCAAGAGTTGGTCTGTAAATGTATAAATGCAAAAAAGGCAATATTCTGTGAAAAGCCAATTGCATTAGAATTGCATGATACAGGTAATTCATGCTTTAAACATAAAGATTAACTTTTCTTTACATAAGAAAAAGTTACTGTTTAAAGTTCAATAGTAAAAATGTTTAACAGTTTTATCATAAATTTACATTTACAATTACAAGTTGGCAAATATTCATTTGTTTTGTTTTAATTGGTTTATTTTACTTAAATAAGTGGGATTATTTAGTTTGATAAAGAATGACTTCAATAAGTAAAAAGAAATTTCAAGTTAGTAGCATATTTTTTGAAAGCACTTGAATTAAATTTATCATTTAGTTTATGTGCTTGCAAATAAAATTAATGTCAGAATAGCAGATGAAAACACATGCATTCTCACTAAATAAAGTACATCAATTTATAGTTAACTCCCTTATCTCGCCTTCCACTGCAGGTCATGTAAAGTTTCCCAAATTTGCACAAAATTTTATAACTATAAATATTCTTTACAAATATGAAAATTATTTGTAAACAGTAATAAATACATCACAGACTAAAAACTATTTTTCAAAATCTTAGTTCTAAAGATAAAAAAACTATATAAACTTAATGATTGAATAATAATTATGAAAAAATAAGGAAATTTTAAAAATTAGTTATGGGTGCAATCACTAATGAAAAGGATCTTGGTAAGCTATCAGTAAACTTTGTACTAAATAAAAATGCAAAAAAGAAGACAGGGTTTTGCAAAAGATCTTGATGAAGGGGAAACTGAAAAATATAAATAAAAGAAGTTGGAAAAAACAAAACTATGCACAACAAAACACCCTGTTCTCTTATCAATTGGTTTAACTTTCTATATGGTCTGGTACAACAAAAAAAGAGTAAAAGCTGTAGTGGTGTTTAACAAAACAATCCTTATAATAAAAATAAAACTGTGTGTTATTTTAGTCAACAAAGTTTTATAAAAGCAGCACATTCACCAGGTTTGTGTATTAGGGGTATATATAAAAGTCCAATATTGGTAGTTTTAAAATTTGTGAACTGCGAATAAAATAGGTAATCAAACAAAAATTTAAAATGGCTGAATAATTTAAATTTTAAAATCTGAGTCTAATATAGATTTAAGCATTTTTAATGCCTAGAAGAAGTTAATTTTATGATGAATGCCTATGTATTTTTTTTTTAATATACAAAGAGGTTGTTAAAGTTATTAAATATATACATAATACATCTCTGATCAGCTATAAATTATTTTTTAAGCAAATTAAAGCTGACCAGTACCCTTTGATAAGCCAATTATAAATCCAAAGTGCTTCACCATGCTGACATTCTGTGCTGTTTTCCTTATCTGAGACACAAATTTTTTTCTTCCAAAATTTTGAAGTTTGATTTGTTTAATGCAACCTGAACTAAACAATTAATATTACTAAACAGTTATGTTGTGGAGGGGAGGGGGTAAAAAGCAGTTGCAAATGGAATGGTATTTATGGATGACCCCTTAGTTTTTCAAAACTGTTTTTTGGTCTTTTGCTAGTATGTTTGATTCTGTTTAATCTTCATTTTTGATGTAATACATATTATGTAAATTTATATTTTTATTTGTATGCTTTTTGTAGTTTTAGTTAAAAAAGTTCTATTGAGTGTCACAAACTTAACCTTAGAAAGTCTAGTGAAAAATAATTTTGTATATAACAAGTTTTTTTTTATCACCTTGTTGTGATTCTTTTTAAAGGGCCCTAAGCGATTGTCTTTTCTATTTCAACAAAGATTTCACTATTAAGTTATCAGAATGTTGCTTGATCTTTAATTAAATTCAACAATTGGAGCTTCTATTTTAACATTTCTAGGTATAAACTTAACATTTCTAGGTAGAAAGTAGTGGTAGAAACCAAACAGTTATAAAGTATACATATAGTAAGCAAGGATTGAAAATTCTTTTTTTTTTCTGCTATTGCAAGAGTCTCATAGGAAAAGGGTTGAGCTTCTCAGTAGAATTTGTGAAAAATGTTAATTGCTTTACTCTTGAGTCCTTAATACAAGGAGGAGAGAAAATTTAGTCCAGATCTAAAAATGGAGGAGGGGAAGATTTTTTTATGTTACAATATAAGTATTTTTTATAAAAAATTTTAGTTTATAAATCCAAATTAATATTTTTTACAAAACAAGCATAAAACTATTTAATTCTAGCATGGTTTGCGGTCAAATGCGCGTTTTCTAACAGCTGTTTTATCATAATTTCAATAGGATCTAATATGCTGATATAAGTTTTATACTTTGGTGAGAAATGATCAAAAATTTACTAGTTCAGCAATTTTTAAAACCTGTTTACACTGAAAGTTTTTATTTTTATCAGTAACTGAAAGAATTGTTTTTTATTTTTTTTAGGTCGATTCTCACTGATTTTTTTTTTTAGTTTTCAGATATAAAATTTTGTTGATTACAAGTAAAAATAAATAAAGGCGAGAAAGGGGGCCTTAATTAGCTTAGGGTGAGTGGGAAAATTTTCCAAAAATTAATAAACGTTTCCCTATCTCATTTTATTAAGGACTCGAGAGTACGTCTATTGGAGGTGTTAATTTGGATTGGTTTAATGCTGCAAAAAAAGTCAATTACCAAGAATATTTGAATACTGTAATTAATAATTGATTAGAGTCTAATTGTGAATGTGCTTTTTTTTTCTTTTTCGAAATTGACATTTTACTATTAGAATTATCATTGAAAGAGTTATCTGAATAGCAATCAATTAATGGTTCTGTAAATGAAATTTCTTCATGTCATTACTGGCGCCCTTGACATAATAGAATATTAGATTTAAGCCAGGAAACCATCATTTTCAACTGCATTGCAAGCTATTGTAATAAGTGTGCTTTTAACCATCATCTCATAAAATATTTGATTTTGTTAGCAACTGACTTAGCTCATCAGTATTTAGAGAATATGTATGACAAACCAAACATGCGTAGTTAAGTGTTTCTTTAGCATATGATAACTCTAAAGAAGCCATATCTTACTTAATATTTTTATTCTTGATTGCTGTAAAAAATATAACTTTGCATTTGTTATAAAACTTATACAATTTTGTTCGTAAATTAATGTTCTTAAATGAAATATCAGGTCAAAATCTCATAGTTAAAATTTAACAAAGTTTAATCAAAAAATCAAAGTTAAATCAAATTCACTCAGTCAAAAAAATGCTAATGAGAAAACTCCTCCACTTCCACTTCTAGCTTTGGGTATTTGTGTGACCATGATTAATAGAAGAGTGGGTCAAAAAAAAAAAATTCAAAAATTGCCTTTCAATATCACTAAATGTACTCTATATATTAAAATAAAACTGGAAATAATAAAATTTGATTAAAAAATATTTTATAGAGTTGCACCCAAGACTCTTAAACATTTACAAGGTCCCCAATATTGAATGTAATATTTAGAAAAGAAAAAGTCCTAAGTAAGTCAACCTGGTACTTAAAAGAAACAAAAGTGTAAAAATCTTAAAAAAATTTTTTATAGAAGTTTTATAGAAGAAAAAACTTAGGGCACACTAATCTACCAATTTTTAACACTATTTAATAAACAAAAGAAAAGCTTTAAATAGCCTAATTGATTTATAACATTTATTTCATATCCGTTTATAAAAATAAACTTTATAAAACAGCAAATGCTATAAATCAAAATGTTTTAGATGTTGCCACAATGTATTTTTTTAGTAAAAGTAAAAATGTAAAACTTGGTATGTTCCAACATATAATTTGAAGTTTACATAAGTTAGCTATTTACACTTTCATTCACATTTCTTTTTTCAAAAAGTGCTGCGCCTCTTTGTTGCCAATAACTCAGGTGTAGTGACAGCCATGATTTTTGTGTCAAACACTCACAAATGAGCATTATTAAGTTTAGCGGTATATAATATTTTCAAAAATTGTTGTTTTTCAGCCCACCCTTTTGTTTAGGTTCAGTTGCACTCATATTCAAATTATTTAAGACAAGTGTTATAGCATATCAAGTGTATATATTATATATTAAAATATTAAAGTGTTTTAATTTTGCAGCAAATAGCCACAAGGCTAATGAAACCTGAAACCAAATATTATAGTTCAAGAAGTTGTATGAAAAGTAAATTTTTTAAAGTCCTTACAGTCTTATTACAGAGCACCGGGGGAGAGCATTTAATAAGAAGTTCGTGCCTCCTTATGTACCAATGTCGCTTTTTGGGTTAGAGCTGGCGTCAAACCTCGAACCTCTGGGTTCTGAGCCAGAACTCTAACCACTGGATAAATAAATTTTGTTATTGTTTTTAATTTAAATAACATTAAATTAAATAACATTAAATTAAATAATGTTAAATTAAAAACATTTTCAGATTAAATTAGAACGTTAAATTAGAAACATTAAACGTTAAATTAGAAACATTTTCAAATCTTATCTTATACAAAAAGACAGTATTTTAAAAAATATTTATAGTATTTAATAACAAGTTTGCTTTTTAGCTCTTACAAATTGTCAGGATTGTGTCTTTGTAGGGAAATTTTTGATGTAACTTTAGCACCAAAATAAATTTGCTCATCTAATAATACTCAGATAAAAATATTCAATATTAAAAAAAAGATTTTGATTATTCAATATTAAATAAAAATTAACTATTCGATAAAAATTAATTAAAAAATTCATTATATCCTTTTAATATTAAATATATTTTTAAAAGATTTATTATTGTACTTTTATTATATTGAACTTATTTTAGCATTAATTTCAGCATTTTCAAGATGTTGAAATTCCTGCAAAATTAGATTTAATATTTTAAAAGTACATAAAGTATTTTTTGATTAATTTTTCTTTATCAAGTTTAAAAAACATATTTAATTTAAATAATAATTTATGATTTCTGAAGATTTCTTTTTTCAATAAAATTAGTAAGGTGTTGATCAACAATGTGCTCATCTTTAGTAAAATTATTGTCCCTCAGATTATAATAGCTTTTTTTTATTATTTTTGTTATTTTATTATTTTTATAATTTGTCATGAAGATAAATACCTTTACATAGATCATAAAATTTTTACTTTT